ACGTTGCTTTTAAGGATAAATGATCACCCAGTAACGTGGTCTAAGTAAAATATTCTCTCTTTTAATTATGTAGTCCTCCTCGCCATCCTCATCACAGCCTCATTCTAGCCACTGCAGAACGAAGGCCTCATCATTGTGTCACCATGCATCCCTGCCCTGGGTCAAACGTAACCATGTAGGCCCTGCAAAGGCTACCAGTCCATCTCTCCGTCTTCGTCGCTGGCGACCCTTCTTACGCCTGCCATCTTTGGGTCTCCATTCTGTTGTAAGTGTAGTCAATCTTCCATCTCTTCTCCCAGTGACAAGGGCAGTCTTTTTGTTTGTGTGTTTGCTTTTCTTTAAACGTCTCCAAGTCTTTAAAGTGCTTTTCTCTTGGTTCACTCAGCCATTAGCTTTTTCTAGCCCAGTAAGATTGCAAGCATACCTCCATGCTCTGCAGTCTAGCTTGACTTTTGCCTGTGCTTGGTGAACATCCATCTTTCCACTCCATATCCTGTGAATGTAAGGGTAGCTGCCTGCTGTTGAGTACTGAGTGGCCTTTGTGGTAATACTAAGTTGTTGTGAATTGTTAAAGTAAGTGTGTTTCCTTACCCTCCAACTTTCTGACTTCGCTTAGATAACTTAGATCAGCAAATACTATGTACCCTCTGAGTTCTTCACCCTCTATTTCTTTATCGTTATTTTTCATATTTCTGAGCATGACTAGTCTCTTGCCATGCTCTGGATCGCTTTACTTACTCTATCCTCAATCTAAATTCTTCATGGTGTAGTGTGTTGCATCTAAGCTATTTTATTCCTTGATGTGGCTCAGGTACTGGTTTAATCTTGATCTGATCTTTCCTGCCAGTTCAGTTTCTAAAGATCTTTTCTGATTAGGAGGTGGAGACTTGCTTCTTGCATGCTAACCTAGGTGTCCTGTGAATTTTATTATTTCTCTTGTAAACTAAAATTAGCAGCCAACTATTATAATATGCATGTACATACTGCCTTAAATATCCAAATTGATAGAATTCCAGTAGTTCTCATACATTAAAATAAACTGCAGAATTAAGCAACCATTCTTTTCTGATGTTTGAAACTACTGAAGGCAGTGGCTGTGGTTTGGCAGAGGCCTTCTAAACATGCAGTATCTGAAAGCTTTGGTGTGTGATATACATTCTTAGAAACTTGTTATTTCTATAAATCAGTTTGGCATTTGGAGCAAAAGGAAGTCTAATTATGCACACATTTTAACATTTAAAAGCAGTTAAATGTCAAGCACCCTTCCTTCCCCGTCATTTACCTTTTAAAGCTGCCTTCAAACTATCAAGTCAACAAATTTCTTTAAGCATTTGATTCCACTAAATATAAGTATGGCCATCACATAGTTTCTGTTTGTGCTGAATATCAACAGACTGCTTGTCATTGCTCTCTCCCTCTCTTTCCCTCCCACTCTTTCCTCTCCCTTCTCTTCTCCCTCTTTCTCTCCTCACCAGATTACAGAATTCATTTGCCATTTTTATTCATTCATCCATTTGATATTTATGCTTCTCTGCTGTGCTATCTACTGTTTGGCCCACTGAGAGGTACATGGTGAATTAGATGAACAAAGTGCAATTTAATTTTGCACCTGCTGACCAGAGGACAATTCATTTAATGCTAAGATGAATAAGTTATGGATTTAAAAATGCTAAATATGAATGAGCATGTCATAAACTTTGGCATTTCCGGTTTTATGTTTCCATGTATTGTTGTTTGTGTTGCTGCATATTAATTCCATTGCCTTATTGCTTTGTAAAATAGCATTGTGCTTAAGAGCGTGGACTGGAGCTGCATGGCATGTCCAGGGGCCATCAAATGTGTTAATTACTTAGGTCTTTCTACCTCTGTGTTCTTGAGTGTAAGATGCATATGAGCATGTAAACCTACTTGACTGGATTTGTGTGATTAATTGGTCAATACAAATATAGCATTCCATCAGTGCCTAGTATAAATTAAATGCTCCCTAAACCTTTTTCTAATGTGAAACTTATATTTAGTAGTTAATTAATGCACTTATTGATAATAACAAAAATAATTGGTTTACACCACTTTTTAATTCACTGGCATTAAGGGGAAGGCTTCTAAATTGGAAATTTAAAAGATAGAAAAATGTGGGGAAAACCTACCAATGTATAGCTTCATATTTGCTATAGTTGTTTGTTAATTGTTTTGGACAGGCAAACATGCTGGAACTCGCTGCTTGCTTGCCCTTGGGTTTCCTGGAATCTGTTGAGCAGTTCAATGATTGCAAATTTAGACTTTCAGACTAATGACGTTGGTCAAAGGATAAAGCTCATCAGAAATAATGAGGTCTTGAAGAAAGTTGAAACATTTATCTTTTTTGAAGAGTTAGAAGGATTTCGTACTGCTTTAGAAGGGTTTTGCTTTTGGTTTTAAGACAGGATCTCGCTGTGTAGCTCTGGCCTCAAGCTCTTGATTGTTCAGCCTCATCCTGTCATGTGCTGGGATTTATAGGCATGTGCCAGCACACCTGGCTTGAGATTTGTAATTTAATTTCCATTTTCAATTAAAAGGGACATTAGTACATAATCTTGATAAATTAGATTTGATACTTATTTATGTTTGTGATGATACGTTAGTATTATGACAGTATGTAAGGTTTCACAATCTCATTTAAACCTCAGGGGGGTGAGGCTGGAGAAACAGCTCAGTGGTGAAGAACACAGATTGCTCTTTCAAAGGACCTGGGTTCAATTTCCAGCACCCATGGTGGTTCATAACCTTCTGTAGCTCCAGCCCCAGGGAATCTGGCATTCCCCTCTGGCCTCTGCAGATATTACGTGTCCATGGTGCACAGACATGCATGAAGGAAAAACACCCATACACATGAAAGAAAACATTGAAAATAAATGAACAAAACAAACAAGCAAAACTCAGAACACCAGATGTAGTGGAACACAACTATTAGCTTAATACTCATTTACGCCTCAAAACAATAAGAAACCCAGAGCTCTAAGGGACTGGGTACACATTCACCTTTCCAACTCCAGTTAAATTTTCTTAACTTTTAGTGACCTTGCACCTTGCTGGCCAATATGAAAAATGGAAGCTATATGATGTTTAGTTCTTAAGGGAAGTTGTTCAAGTAATTAATTTATGAAAACTGTAACTCAGAGCCTTCAGATACTTGATATTCCTTAAACATGGTCTTATTGTCAGTAAAATAGGATTCCTAGTTAAGAAATTTCTTGTAATAATTTGTTTCTTTGTTTTAATGAATATATAATGATTTGCCTTGAAAAACTAGATTCTCTTCTAGTCACTGATAAAATGATACAAGATTGAGAAATCATGAAAATCTTTTTGGTAGGGAAGTAAAGAAATTCGTTATCACCAACTTTATTTATTTATTTAACTTAAAAAATTATTTATTTATTTATTTATTATTTATGCGATGTTCTGCCTACACGCCAGAAGAGGGACTAAGTCTCACTGTAGATGGTTATGAGCCACCATGTGATTACTGGGAATTGAACTCAGGACCTTTGGAAGAACAGCCAGTGTTCTTAACCTCTGAGCCATCTCTCTAGCCCTATCACCAACTTTAAATATTTGAAGAACTACTAGATTCAAGAAGGATTAGGTTTTTCTCCAAACATGAGACATATTTGAGCCTCTATATGAGACATGACTCTACAAAACTGTCAAATTAGTGGCCTAGATAGTCTCAAAACTTAATGACAGATTCTATCATTAAAGGGGTCTGCAGTTAAAGATGAGAACAGTAATGTAATGATAAAGCTATATAACTTTGATTTCTGCCAACTGTGGAATTCTTTAGTTCTGGACTGAAATTGATAGAAGTTAGTTTGTCATATCAGATTATGAAGACTTTCTTTCATTCATAACGCAAAGGAAATAATATTAGAAGAATAAGATTAAATGAGTCATTATGTCAGTAAATACTTGGAAACATTCTGTATGCCTTACAACTTTAAAAAGGAGTGAATAAAAACTAGTGGTTATTCTGTAACTTTAATTTCTGCATCAAAAAATTTACATTAAATTATTGAGAAATATATAATTATTTGATGGTGAAAATAACAACTTTTGAGTTAAGATACTGTGTTACCTAAAAAGATATTAGATAATACGAGACATAATTTGATTTAAGCTACTTGTAATTTTTGCTTCAAACAATTGAAGTTCCATATGTGTTTAGTTATGATTTCAATGTGTTTAGATTTGGTAAATAGCTAACATATTTAATATATCATAAAATACCAGTTTGTATATGTACTTTACCTAAGTTATTCAAATGTTTAAGAAATGTAAATATTGCTTGTGTAAATTGAATTTGATTAAGGAAATATAAGTATAGTTTAAATAGCAAGTTGGTCATTAAGAGTTAAAAAAAGAAGAATGAAATAGAGGTTACAGTTTGTTGTGTCTTAATTTTTTTCTTTTCTACAGTTATAGTCACCAGACTAGCTATTCATTTATAAGCTTTTCGAATCTAGAATGATTGTTTACACTGTGTTGTTCAAAACATGAGCTCTTTAAGATCAGGCAACAGACAGCTTACTCTCTAGTGTTCTAAAATTTAACTTCAAAAGAGTGCCAACATTAATAATTATGAAAAATGTTTTAACATTCATATTTTGAAGTTTAAAAACTGCACATCTGAGCTCAGTCATGCAATTTGTTGAGCAATGGACATTGTGTGTTTGCTGTGTACATGTACAGTGTCTTAAGCTGGTCACTGAGATTTCCAAGTTAAACAAGGTGTTCAGTTTCCAGAACTGACCAAACTAAAAGATGTGACTTCCTTGTTGGTGGTGAGCATGGTGTCACAGACATACAGATGGCTACTCTGTGCTCATATCAGTAATTGGCCTTGAATTTCATTGGATACATGTTGTCTTTTGTCATTTGTTATTACTTATGTATATTTATTTGTACTTGATTGATTTGTTTAACTACTAATGTAGATAATATATTTTTCCCTCCTATTCCAGGCACCAAGTATAGATGAGAAAGTAGATCTTCATTTTATTGCATTAGTTCATGTAGATGGGCATCTCTATGAATTAGGTAAGAACTATTTTAATTCATCCGGGGGAGAGTAATGACCAGGCTCTTCTCGTTGTAAACGGGACTGTTCTCATTTTGTTTCCTGAAACTGAAAGCTCTAAAATTGGATTGGCAGAATAATGGTTTTTCTTTTTTAGTTTTTTTTAATAGAATTTTTTTTCAAAGTTTTTTTTTTAATAGAAAAAAAGTGTTTTTTGATGTTTTAGCATCTTATAATTCAGGAATTTTATATACCTTCTTTGCGTTTTGGCAAAGAAGAAAATAAAAACCATTACAGGAAACATCTATGAAGAGCTTTGGCAATCTTTGATAAGCTGTTGAATTAGTTGTCATATCTGAATGAACTTTGTTTACATTTAAAATATGTATGTTCAAAAGGAGTACACTCCTTTTCAGGCTTTTGTACTACACTGTATGCTGTCTTGATTTCTTAAGACTTTTCAGGGGCCTATGTTAGTCTGGTAATGGCACGACGACTAAATACTGAATACCTGAGCTTTCTTACAAATAATTGAGCTGTTACTGAAGAAGATGCATATAATTTTAACTTGCCTTATTTAGGTAGGAAAAAATGGCCCCAGTATTGAAAACAAACAAAGGTCCCCAGCATTGAAAAGAAAAGAAAGTCTAAATAAAAGAAACAAAAGTCTTCCAGCAATCCTGCATGTGTGGTCTTCTCCTGCTTCTCTGTTTGCTCTGTATCCATTAGCTGTCACTTTCGTTCTTCTTAGCTTATTTAAAAACAACTGTGTTCTAAAGTAGCTCAGGTTGTGACTGTAAATATAATCTACGGAACTTAGATAAATGTTGTATAGGAAACATTGCAATAAAGTCATACACTTTATTAAAAAGAAAAGGGTACATTCTGCAGTAGTGTAGTGATTTGTGTCAGAATTAAACTAAACTGGAAAGAAGTCGTTGTTATTCGTGTAAACTGATTTGCAGAACAGGTTAGAAAGTGTGCATTACTGACTGATTAGGTTACAAAGTCTGCATGGAGATGACACACAATAGTCACAAAAGACCCCATGTGTCTGGTTTACTTCTGGAAACAGAATTTTTACTCTGAAGCTTTAATAAACTGATGGAAGGGGAAGTAAGGAGAATTCTGGGATTTGTCATACACGTTCTGTTGACTTCAGGAAAGTCAACTTCTTCCCTAGCATATGCTAGGCTCTGGGTTCTTTCCCTTGCATGCAAGGAAGAAAAACAAAGTGAAACAAACAAACAAAAAAAAAAAACAAAGTGAAACAAAAAGAAGAAAGAAGGAGATTTGGGAAAAAAAACCAGAGAAATATTATATATATATATATATATATATATATATATAATATTATATATTATATATATATAATATTATATATTATATATATATACACACATATATATATAATGTATATAATCAGAGATTATTAAAGTGATGTTGGCATTGAAAAATGAGAGAATTTACAGAGAAGACAGTGATATATAAGAGATGTTTGGTAAACAACGGTGAGACAGAAGGATTTGTCTTAGAAATTCAGTAGGAGTAGCGTGACCTAGAGAGAAGGTTTAGCAGTTAAGAGGACTGGCTGTCTTTCAGAGAGTCCCGAGTCCAATTTCCATCACCCACATGGTGGCTCAGACTGATCTGTAACTCCCATTCCAGGGCATTTGACACCCTCTTCCGGCTTCCCTAGGCACCAGGCATGCATTTGGTGCACTGACATAGGTGTAAGCAAAACACTCATATGTAAAACAAAGTAGCAGTTAAAAGAAAATAAAACAATCCCTCACATTGGTTGGTCAATTTGTTCTCTGAGCCTTGAGTCTAATAGGGCAATTGGAAGGGAAGAAAGACATGCCTCAAAGCTAAGCTCAGGCTGGAGAGCTGGCTGAGAGGTTAAGAGCACACGATTCTTGCAGAGGAATTGAGTTCAGCAGCTACATCAGGCAGCGCATAGCCTCCTGTGATTCCAGCTCTAGGAGTGGGCAACCTGGATATGTATATTCAGACCTGTATATGAAATTTTATATGTGTGTGTGTGTATATATATATAATTTGAAGCCTGTTGAGATTAGAGTTTTTAAAGTGAGTGTGAAGAAATTCAGAAATGTAAAGAAAGCCAGTCTTGGAAGTGTTGCAGGAGAATTGGGATAGCTGCAAAGCAAAGAAATATGCACAGTTATTGATTCCCTCAGCATAATTGGCTGTTACCCCAGTGTGGATGGCAGTAATGATCCCAGTAAATTCAAAAGGAATGTTGAGTAAGCTGAGTAATTCATACTGAATATGTGAATTAAAACCAGAGATGATAAGAATACTCTTTTTTAAGAAAAGAGCAATGTAAAAAAAAAAAAATCACCATATTTATCCATTCTTGGGATTGCACCTATGGCCTCATATATGCTAGGCAAGCAGTCTGCCGCTGAGCTCCACCTCCATCCTGTGTAATCTTATTTTTAAGGCCATCTGATTGTAGGCATGATGCAAGTAGTTCCTGTAGGACAGTTTCTTAAACGAGGATGGTGGCATGGTTAATTATTTACACCTTACTAAGTTGTGAGGTTAACTGTTGAAAAGGACCAAGTAATTTCTGGCTTTTAATGATCTTTTCTTTGGGGCTTCAGCAAGTTCCTACTATATGTAGAAGGAAGTACTGCACATTTAAATGAGTCATTCCTTCCGGATAGGTTCAGTGGTGAATTCCAAGTAGACAGAATAAGCTGACTTTTAAAAAGGTAACTAGTGAATTATTGCCTGTTAAAAGTAAACTTGAAAAACTTGTAGTTTGGAATAATTTGGATACTTACAGAAACTAGAATAGAATAGAGAGCTTCCATTTACTTTCTTCTAGGTTTGTGAGACCCTGTTAGTATTTCTGAAACATTTGAAAATAAGTTACTGCCATATCGTTTAATAGCTCTATATGTGATTTTGAAACAGAGGCAGGTACTTTTCTGTATAAGTGCCATATGGAAGCAGCAGTGATGAAATATTACCAAAGGATCTGGTTCAGATTATGCCTGTTATAACAGTGATGTCATTTAGAGGGTCTGAAGTCAATCCAGGATCAGGTGCTGGATTTAGTTGGTCCTGTTCTCTCTGTGTCTCCCTGAATCCATAAGTTCTTCAACCCTTTACTGTCATCGTGTCCTTGACATTTATTTCTAAGAGGATAGGACCATTACTTTTTTGAGGTTTTCTTCCATCTGAGTTCTCTGCTATTTCATGATGGTTTATGCATTTGGGGCAAGAACATTACAGCATTGGTGCTACATGCTTTCCTAGTGTATTGTGTCAGAAGGCTGCTTGCTGATTCCTATCATTTTTGGTGATGTTAACTTTTGTCACTTGGTTTAATTAGTATTTGTCTGGATTTTCTACTATAATGCTAGTTAATAATTATTCTATGTTTGTTAATAAGCAATAAATAGGTATTATTTCAGGAGATCCTTTGAGACTATATAAATATATTATTTTTACCCCTCCCCCTTTAAATAGGGCCTAACTATATAGCCCTGGCTTCCTCAAACCCACAGAGATGAGACTGTCTCTACCTTCCAAGTGTTGGGATTAAAGGCGTGTCTCATTATGTCTAGCTGGTGGTTACCATTCTTAACAGATTCATAAAAACAGCCAACCCTGTGAGGTGCAGGTGATCCTAGCTGCTATGGAGGCCGAGGTAGGAGGATGAAGTCTTCAAGTTTTCACCTGGGCTCCACAGTGAACCCAGGGCCAGTCTGATCAGTGTAGCAAGTCTCCACCTCAAGTTAAATATAAAGAGAATAGGGTAGAGCTCGGCGGGAGAAGTGTTTTCTAGCCTGTGTGTGTGTTTGGTCCAGGCCCTAGCACCTCACAACATCAGTAACAAAGTCCAACGGAAGACTGACTCTCTAGCCCCTGGGCTGTCTTCACTCTAGACTGCTGTTAGAGTGGAGTGTATATAATTTCATTTTGCTATTTCTTTGACATCTCAAGACCAGTGTCTAATATTTACTCTTAATAAGGTTGATTGAAATTCTACATTATTTTAAACTACTCCACATGAAGGAAATTATTTGGGAGAGTTTATTGCTTTACAGAGTCTAATAAGATGTCAGAATATAAATCGTATGATCCAGGGAAATAACATGCATTAATTTTATTACTTAGTTAAGAAGGAGAAACTTACATTGTTTTGCCTTTACATAAAAATTAAAACAGAACAACATAACTGTGGGGGGGGAGACCATAATGAATATTATTTGTTCTTACAGCAGTAGGGCAGAGAGGCCACAGAGGATTGAGCATCTCTCATAAAAGGGTATTTTATTATTGTATTTCTTTTCTGTTTGTTTTTTAAACAAGCTCTCGCTATGTAAGAGGTGATAGATTTGGATACGGATCAGCTCACCTTCATTAGCCTTGTCTTTTATCATTGTAGAATTTTTCATAACACTAGCTTTTTGAAGATGATTATGAATAAATATTTGTATGAATATTTTAGAGTTCTATGTCATTTGAATTGTACTTCGTTATAGTGCACAGTTAAGCCACAACAGTATGGATTTTCACTGAAAAAAATTGTGTCATTTTTGTATAAGATCTTCTGATTTAGCTTTAAAAATGAAAAAAGTATCTCCAAGAGTAAAAATGATTGCAGGTTGGTAGTGTTGCATGCCTTTAATCTCAGCACTTGGGAGGCAGAGGCAGTTGAATCTCTTGAGTTCATGGCCAACCTGGTCTACAGAATGAGTTCCAGGATGGCCAGGGCTATACAGAGAAACGCTGTACCAAAAAACAAAACTAAAACAAACAAAAAAAAAGAAAAAAGAAAAAGAAAGAAAGAAAAAGATTTATTATGAGCCAATTTGGCATTCTCTTTTATAGGGACCTGTACATAAAGCAGAAGTAGACGTACTTGAAGTAGACTTACCCTAGACAAAATGTATCCTGTGAATACCAGAGACCCATCAAGCAGTGACCAAGAAGAGGAGCACTGATACATTAAGGAAAGAAAGTGTCACTGTATAAAGTGCTTATTTAAATGAAGAAGCCCAAAAACTGAGGCCTCTGCTTGGGATTGGTATTAATCCAAATGCATAATTATTTTAAATGTAAATGGTATAAATTACTAATTGTATATATTCAGGGGAAACTAAAGCCATAGTTGAAAATTACATATTTAAAAATTCTTGTTATATTTCTTAAACTATGTAACTTCCCTTGATTCACTATAAGAGAAGAAATGGAAGGTAAGATACATTCTCTTGTAAGAACAAGAAAGGATTTACCTATTTGTCTACTTTTCACAGATGGACGGAAACCATTTCCAATTAACCATGGGAAAACTAGTGATGAGACGTTGTTAGAGGTAACAAAAATAACTGGCCCATTTTAACCTTTACCGACCTTGTCATCTTTAAACACTCTGTGGATACTTCTTGGCACTTGATCTTTTTAGAAAATCCCCAAACAAAATGTTGAATTAGTGTTAAAACTATGCAAGGAAGAGGCTTTCCTCCAGAGCTCTGTGTGAAGAAGGCTAAATTTAAAAGGCAAAAGATTTGCTCATTATGGGTCGTATTTCATTGACTCCAATATACCATCAGTGGTGACGTGATCCTAGTTTTAGAGATCTTTTAGTGGGAATAAATTGTGTGGCTTACTATCAAGGAATTATGTGATTTTCATGTTAAAACATTTTTTAAATTTAGTTTACTTTTGAGCTCGTCTGCTATGTAGCAGTGGCTGACCTGGAGCTGTCTGTGTGGACCAGGCTGGCCTTGAACTTTCAGAGTTCTTCCCCCAGAGGCTGTCACTGCACCTTGTGGGTTAAAAGGTCTTGAAAACCACCTTCGGGAAGAGTATTCATCAACTGTGTTTCATAGCAGATTAATAATCATGACTACTTGGAACAATTAGAAAAGAGGAATTGAAATTACTTTTCTGGCTACAAGAGTGAGTTTAAGATTGGCCAGGGCAACTTAGTGAGACTCTGAAAAGGGGGGAGGGGCAGGGCTTGAGTATGCTTGCCAAGACCCTGAATTTGATCCCCAGTCCTGGAAGCAGTTAGGGGAATGTGATGGCAGTGTCTACTATATTTCATGCTAATAAGCAAATTAGTTTGCCACCTGTTTATCCTTTGACATTTTAGTTTTCGTTTCGTATCAGAAAAAGAAGTCTTCAGTATAAAATTAATGTGAATTAGAAAAGTACAGAATTTATAAACTGAAAAGTTATACTTTCCTTCCCATAGGATGCCATAGAAGTTTGCAAGAAGTTCATGGAACGTGACCCTGATGAGTTAAGATTTAATGCAATCGCTCTGTCAGCAGCATAGCATTTCGACAGAAATACCAAATACTGTATTATTTGCCACAAAAGTTAAATTTCTGATGCCATAACTAACTCAATTTTTAATATTTTCATTAACGTGACTGATTAAACTTTATGTGAATAAACTTTGACTTTACCTGTGTTCTGTGTTGTTTTTGCTACAGCTTAAAACTCAGTTCTCTTTCTTTTTCCTGAAGTGGAATCATCTAGTGGTAGGACTTACAAAGGCCTTCTGACTCCTTTGATGTTTCAAGAAGATCATGTATTAGGACAGCAGGCATACTTTTCATCCCCACGGTGAATGTGCATTACGTTTTATGTTCCCTAATTTAGCTAGAAAATGGTTGTTGAACATTTACTTGCAACAAGATGGTAACTAGTCTAGACACAGGAGTATTAGCAGCTGTGAATCCTGTTGACAAATGCCAGGGTCATGGGGTTCATGTTTTTTGTTTTTGTTTTTTGTTTTTTGTTTTTTACTTCATATATACCAGAAGAGGGCGCCAGATCTCATTATAGATGGTTGTGAGCCACCATGTGGTTGCTGGGAATTGAACTCAGGACCTCTGAAGGAGCAGCCAGTGCTTTTAACCACTGAGCCATCTCTCCAGCCTGGGGTTCATGTTTTTGTGATCAGAGATATGAAGCAAACACATAAAGAACACACAGAGCAGTGATAGAGCTTGGAGAGTAACTGAGTAACTTAGACAAGGAAGGCTTCATTGAGAAGTTGATCAAAGCTGAGTCCTGAGTGACAGAAAAGTGTAGATTAGCAGGAACAGAAAATAATCAATGCAGCATCTCTTATGCTAGGTCCTGTAAGAAGGTCATATGACTGCACATAGGACATAAGGAAAGTGGCAGGAAGTGGAGTCAGAGAAGGAAGGCCATTGGGATTTATTGCCTGTGTGATGTTAAGTCATGGAGAGGCACAGGTTAAGCAGAGGAGTGAGGAGGATCTATAACTTTGAGAGATCATTCTGACACCTATGGATGGCTATTTGAGACAGAGGAGCTTCAGAACGTACTTGTAAGTCCACAGTGGCAGTTAAGGGAGGCATGTGGGTGTGGGGGGGAGGTGTGCTCTGAGGAAGGAAGTTTTGAAAGACAATTATAAGGCTCTGAAAAGGTGGAAGAGCATTTATAGGGTTGGATTAAGGCTCAGGGTTACTGAAATAAAATGTTTTAGATAGTTGTGGGGGAGAGGTTACTTGGGTACATTTATGAAAACTCGTTGGATTTCACTTTTAAAATGTGTATTTCACAGTATGTGCATTTCATCTCAGACACAACAAAAGCAGATTTGGCTTGGACTGAGTATAATAGAAAGGCAAGCTTGTTCTATGTGAAATTCTGGACCAGTGATATGCTGTAATTTAAAGATGATTTACTGAATTACTATTTGTTCCTGAGGCAGTTACGCTGCAAAAGTGTCTTAGCAAGCGCATCGTCGTGGTGGCTTGCAGAATGAATATGATCTTTATTATTAATGTCTAGTTGTATCGGTTCCTAGAAACTGATAAATGATGCACTTCAGACTCAGCCCCACAACCTGCATTTTAAACCAGGTCTCCAAGTGGTTCATAGGAATATTTGGGGAAGAAGTGGATTAGGAAAAAAACAAGAGGTAATCAGGAAGCTACTTTGGAGGATACTTAAGGTCCCAGTTTTCTATCATTGTCAAGAGGGCCTAGATAAGCTACTAACAGTTGGGATAAAATAATCTGAAATACATTCTATACTGTGACTGCCTTCATTCATGGTGCCTTTGCCAGCCTGTAATAAGAGCCAAGTGCTCTGTTCTAGTAACATTTGTGTGTACCTGTGATGGAGTCCGCTGTGGCCACATTTCTCCCGCTACGTGTAATTTCTTACTTCTAAAGTAATGGGACAGAATCCAGAACTATTCTTCCTCCATGTTTACCATGAAGAACACTAGGGGAAAAACTAATTGGTTTACATGTTATTTTTATTTATTTACTTTAATGTATAAGGGCCAAAACAGGTTATCTGCTAACCATGTTCACTCATGGTAAACTGGAATTTTCAGCTTTCAGTGCAAACTCATCTGTTTGAGGATCGATTTGCCTTTTTAAAAGTGTCTGTTTATGTGACATTTAGCATAAATGAATCATTTTGGCATGGGGCTTACTGCAGGAGGAGCTCAATCTAAACAGTAACCTATAATATTCAACAAGTTCTTAGGAGCCAACTTGACATTTTATTCTCGCTGCTTTTTTCTAAGTACTTGCCACATCTTCTGCTCTGTGCTCTTCAGTACTGTGCTTAGTCACTTTCTTGAAATTTGTATTTGTAGTATTTGTAAATATAGAAATTTGTGGTATTTGTAGGAAGATTAATCATTTACTGTAGAGATCTGAAGAGACTAAGACTGAGCAACCTGTGGCTCATTTGTGACAGTGTCGTGAATCACAGTGATAGCTCTGGAAAGTTGGCACTGATGTAGGTACTAAATGTGCGTGCGTAAAGGGCTGTGGGAGTTGACTAACCATCTTTTTTATGTAATCATATTTTAATATCAACAGTAAAAATATAAAACAACGAGCATATGTCTGTCAAGTCCCAAAGTTTTAATTTCTTTTAAGATTTCTTCATTGTATATCCCAATTAAAGCCCCTCCCTCAACTACTCCCAGTCCCACCTTCCTTCCCTTTTTTACCTAACCCTTCCCTAGTCTGCTGAAAAGGGGAGTTCTCCTCCTCTGCCATCTGGCCATAGCTTATCAAGTCTCATCAGGACTGCCTGGCAAGACCACAATCTTACATCCAATAGAGGGCTAATATCCAGAATATATGTAGAACTCAAGAAATTCAACATCAACAAACCAAATTACTCAGAGCTAGCAGAGAATTCTCAACAGAGGAATATCGAATGGTGGAAAAACAGAAATGCTCAACATCCTTAGTCATCACGGAAATGCAAATCAAAACAACTCTTCAGATTCCATCTTACACCGATCAGAATGGCTAAGATCAAAAATTCAAGTGACAACACATGTTGGAAAGAGTATGGAGAAAGGGGAATCTCCTCCATTGCTGCTGGGAATGCAAACTTGTACAACCACTTTGGAAATCAGTCTGGCACCTTCTCAGAAAATTGGGAAAAGCACTACCTCAAGATCCAGCTATACCACTCCTGGGCATATACCCAAAAGATGTCCCACCATTCAATAAGGACATTTGCTCAACTATGTTCATACCAGCTTTATTTATAATAGCCAGAATCTGGAAACAGCCTAGATGTCCCTCAACAGAGGAATGGGTACAGAAATTGTGGCACATTTATACAATGGAATACTACTCAGCAATTAAAAACAAGGAAATCATGAAATGTGCATGCAAATGGATGGAACTAAAAAAGATCATACTGAGTGTGGTAACCCAGAAGCAGAAAGGCATGCTTATAAGCGGATATTAGCTGTATAATATAGGATAGCCATACTGAAATCTGCAGATGTAAAGAAGCTAAACAACAAGGAGGACCTTAGGGAGGATGCTTAAATCTCATCCAGAATGGCAAACAGGATAGACACTAGAAGTGTAGAAGAGAGGGAACAGGATGGGTGATTAAACATCTTTTATCATCTGTAATTGTTTGCTTTGAACTCCCAATACTACAAGAAAAAAATATTTGAAACACACAGAGGTGGTTTAGTGAACACCATAGTTAATCTGTTAATCTTTCCATGTTTGTGACTAAAACAGAAGTTCCACATATTTCATGACAAATCAAACTTTAATGATGTCTTTCAAAAATTGTAATATTATAACATAATATTTAAGTAAATTTTTATTTCATTTCAGATTTGTATACAGTGTTATTAGGTAAGTCTTATCAGTGGCCGTGTTTAATATACAATTCACTATTTGTGACAATAATAAATTTTAAAGATACTTTTATCTGCTAATGCTTATCTGCTTCCATAGCTTCCAATATAAACCATCTGCAACCTGACCATTCCTCTACCAATGTTTGTAAAAAATTAAGGAGAAACATATTTCCAGGACTTATAGAACCCTTACTTGTAGAAATATATTCCAGATAGATCTTGCATAGATGTGTCTGCGTATATGTACAGTCATGTGTTCCCATACATACGTATGCTAATACATACCGTGTACAACCAGTCCTCTATATGTAAGTTTCAAAGGTATCCTCAGACCCAACCAACTGTAAATGGAAGCATTTGGAAACATTAACACAGTTACACAAACCTTTATCATTGCCCTTAGCCAATATAACAGCTATACTGGCATATTTGCATTGTATTAGTATTCCTACCTAATACCTATTCCTGATCTGGAGATTGCTTCAAGTGTGCAGGGGAGTGTATAGAGATGATACAAACATACTGTGTCAATTTTGGATGTGGGTGTTCTGGAGTTGATGTCAGGTGGGATTGAAAGGAGTCAGAACCAGTCCACAGATGAGGATGCTTATATGCTCTCACTTTCACAGATATTCACACCTGGAAGAAGGCCAATAACTTAGGTTTAAATTCTCTATTAAGTAAATCCTTGACTGATGCTAAAGAAAGCACCTGAAAACTGTGTAATCACTGTAAGATGTTTTGAGAGCTTGTTTAGAGGGATTTTTATACACTCAGATTTTGATGTTTTATCTTTTTAAGATTCTCTGGTAAGATAACAAACATTAGTGGGACCTGCAGAAGAAGGGGAGGAAGGATTGTAGGAGCCAGAGGGTGAAGGACACCAGAAGAAAACCCCCAGAATCAACTAACCTGGGCTCATGGGGGTTCACAGAGACTGAACCGCCAACCAGGGAGCCTGTATATGTCTGACCTAAGACCTTTGCACGTTTGTTATGGTTGTGTAACAAGGTCTTCTTGTGGGACTCTTAACGGTGAGAGTAGGGCCTGTCTGACTCTGTTGCCTGCTTTTGGGACCCTTTTCCTCCTACTGGGTTGCCTTGTCCAGCTTTAACAGAAGAGGTCCCCAGTCTTACTGCAACTTGATATGCCATGTTTGGTTGATAACCGTGGGAGGCCTGTCATGTCTGAAGAGAAACAAAGGAGGAGTGCATGGGAACAAAGGGGAGGGGAGGTTAGGAAGGGGGACTAGAAGGAAGGGAGGGAAGAGAAACTGCAGTC